AAAAAAAAAAAAAAACATTTTTAAACAGTAATTTGACATCATTTCGACTCTATATTCTTCAATAAAATAATATCACACGCAAATCCAAAACATTTCCTCATCTTTTAAGCACCCATTCTCCTTCAATCTACTATTCCAAAATACATTCTTTCAAAATAATGTGGTTCAAACACACTAAATTTGTGCATTTACATTTAGTCACAAAATTTCTATTGCTTTGCTCTTTTATGGCCAGGTCCTAGAAAGTGTCGTCATACTTCTGAAGAGAATTCACAAGTCTACAAAAGAAGAAAGGTAGTGAGCGTATATTTAATTGGAAATCTTCGGTTAATGAGATAGGTATTGCTTAAATTATTATGGGTTTTTATCATTCCTTACATTTCTATTGTATTTTGTATGTTTCCTTGCATTCCACCTTGGATTATGAGGCTTGTTGTGAGAATATTGCTCCCACACTGCGGCATGGCATGGGTAAAGGTTTGATGACTTATATGGGTGCTTCAGCAAAGAAAAATGGCAGGGGCAAAGGTATGATAACTCAAAAGGGTGCTGCAGTGAAGAAACATGGCATTGGCAAAGGTTTGATGACTGTTTGGCAGATGACAAATCCTGATGCTAGAAATCTTTCTCCTGATGGTATTTCAAGTGAGAGCCTTGTCCAACAGAAGACAAAAAAAGGGCAAACTGTTTTGGTTAGCTAACTAATCGACCTTTTTGAAGTTATCTTATCACAACTATTAATATTTTTCTTTGGGTTTGTGAAACCTGTTGAATGTTTGATTTGAAAATCTTTATTCAACGGAATGGTCAGAAAAGACTCTTAACAGCTGGTCTTCTCTGCACAGAGAAAATTGACTAACAAAGAACAGGCTAAGAGGAAGCGTCCTCCAAGAAGTAGAAAGGTAAAATGATTCTTGCTATTCTACTTGTCAGAAGAAGGATAACTGGATTCTATAATTAAGTGTCTGAACTTGGCATGCTGTAACTGCAGGTGGAGTACCAGAAATTTGAAAAGAGAAATCGTAAAGAAAAATGCGAACTTGCTCTGGACCAAGGAGAGATGTGTGGAAAATACAGAACACTTTGCAATGCTAGTAGATGATGAGGAACTGGAGCTAAGAGAGTTACAAGCGGGACCAAATCCGTTAACTTGCTCTGCACACTTTGCAACCAATGCATCGCGTGGTTGTTCGCTTTGTAAAGGTTAATTACTTTGTTTTCTTCCCCAATTTTCTTTTGTTTTGTTTTATAGAAAATAGCTAGAGTCCACTTGTTATGTATCTCACCTAATAAGGTTGTGTAATTTTATAGATTTGCTAGCCAAGTTCCCTCCAAGTACTGTCACAATGAGACAACCCTTATGTGCAACCATGGAATTCCTCTCCAGAGCTTGTCAAGAAACTCTTCAAGTTATACCAATATGCTATTCCATTCTGGTCATGGAAGTGCTTAAAGTGACGGGTCTTTACATATTACAGCTGACTATTGATGGCAGATTAATGGTTTCAGATTCCCCCCTTTCTCCTTTAATCAAATGTCTTGGTGGAAATTTCAGTATCATATATATTGTGATAAAGTTTTTCATGCTACTTGTGTATCTTAATGAGCTTTCTTTTTGTGCTTATCTAGGTCAATGTTGTCATACTTGATGCAAGTATATTCTTGTTAAGAAGTAAAAAGAATGCTAGAAGAATGACTTAAGAATTTTATGGTGCCTATCTATAAGAACATGGGTGATATTCATGTGTTAGTTAAATATGTATTAGGTTCATGAGCCGTGGCAGATCCAGAATTTTGAATGTGTACGGCGAACATTTACCGTTGTCTGCCGGTTGTAATAAAATATTGAAAATTAAATATAATAATTATTTTGCTAAAAATTGAACATATATAATATTGTTATATATGTTAACAATATTCACCAAATGACATTTTGGCAATGTTTTGTACAATTCAGAGGAAAGAGCAAGGGTTCGAATCGTTTCAATTGCATTAAAACCACTAAAACAAAATATATATTATTCTGTTACGTTTAGTATCAAATTTCTTCAAGTGTCATGATGGTTAAGCTTTCAATAACCTTAACGAGAGGTCACAGGTTCAAATCCCCTCCCTATTGCATTAGCTTTGGTAAAAATTGAAGAACTAGAAAAAATGTGCAATAAAATTGATTAGGAAGAGATTCGATCCCTGGACCTCCAATTTGTAAGTGGACGCTCTAACCGAGCTGCAAGAGATGCTTAGAAGTAAAATGAATTACCAGATATATAATAAAACTTTTATCTACTATTGTCAACAATAAAAATTTGTTCCCGACGGATTTGGCAAGCTTGGCTGCCGGTGCTCGCAGGGTGCTGGATGGCCACTGTTCATGAGATATATATAGTCCAGCCTATCATATATTTGCATGATATATTTGCTTTAGTCATGCATGTACTTATTAGACATATTGGAGATGGGTCTCCTTGGTGTATGTTACTGAAGACATTATTGTGTAGAAGGAAAGAATTAAATCATAAGTTAAAATTTTGGAGGGTTACATTGATATCTAAAGGGTTTAGGTTAAGTAGAACCAAGAGATGGGGCATACATGATACATCGCCCGACAGTAGAAATAATGGTATATTGGCTTCAATATAGAGGAACTTGTTGTCTCAAAAAATGATTGTTTTAAGTATTTAGGTTCGGTTATTTACAATGAACCTGAAGTTGAAGAGAATGTAATATGTGGGATTACAGTGACCTGGACGTAATGGAGAATTTTATAGGAATTCTGGGTGACTGGAACAATTTTATAAGGTTGAAAGTATAGTTTTGTAGAACAATGATTAGACCTGCAATGCTCTTTGGTATATTGGGTGTTGGCTATTGAAGGACAATATGTCCAGTAGAAAAATGTAGGGGAAAGGATGCTAAGACAGTTATGATGTCATGCTAGAATGGATAAGAATTGAGAATATTCGTCAACAAGTAGGGGTGCACTTAGGGAGAATAAATTTAAGGGACTGGTATCAAATATGTTTGCAACATGGCTTCAATAGTCCTTGAGAGATCTAGTTTATCAGAGTGAGGTGATCAGAGTAAAAAAAATATTACAAGAGGGAGAATAGATCAATACCATCATGGCTGTGGTTGCTAAGAATTTAGTTGCTTTGAACCAACTTTAAAAAGGTGATGGAAAAGGATTTATGCAGTTGGTCCCAGCTTAATTGAGAATAAAGCTCAGTTTGTTGTTATGTATATTTGCGTCGTTGCTTTGTTGTAATAATAAGGTCTAGTGAGTTAAAGTGTGTTTTGGCTGACCTTATAAGTTGTTGTGTGCTTATTGGCTGATGTAATACGATAATAAGGTATGGTGACTTAAAGAGTGTTTGGTTTTTTATCCTGAAATGCTATGCTGTTGCAATTTCTAGTATTGACACAAGTTATTCCCACGGAACACTCGAAAGTCACAGGGAAATCTATCGCTTGCGGGAATAACTCGTGATCACTTGCAGAAGTCCCTAGGTTCAATCGTTCCTTTCTCCCCTTTTCCTTCACTACCTCAGTTGATTTTGAGTGTCAAGGCCAAGAAGAGAGAGATTGTTGTTTTTGTTTATTATGAGCCGCTGAATGTCAGAAGAAAATGCGACCGTTGCAATCATTACTGTATAAATTGAAACTGATTAGTCATAGACTTATTAGGTGTGGGCATTTTAATCAGAACTAGATCCGACTCTAGAAAAAAGTTAGGAAATGAAATTGAGAATAAAAAACAGACAGGGTCTTGGACTGTTCTTGGTTTTTGAATGGAACAGTGGGTACCCTGCTCCGGAGCCGAATTTGTCCCCTTTTGTAATTTTTTACAAGTTGTACGCTTCAACCCAATGAGTCAATGACCCAATGGGTGAAAACAGAAGTCGACAAATTTGATTGTTATGCTGTTTTCATAGAAATGAATTTGTTGTTTTTAGCATTTGTAGAATCTAGTACTTATTATTGGTTTCTAGTTTTTGGTTTGTCTTTGAGTATGTAATTAAGTATGTGCTCTGCTTGGATTCTTTTTGGTGGTTTATTTGCTGTGGTTTGAAAATATGTTGAAATGTGTAATTAGTGGCATATTTATATCTTTATTTTTACTAGATATGGGAAGATAATTCGTAGTTTCATTCGAGGGTTTTTAAGAAAATGTTATGGTTCGGTTCAGTTTCTGTAATTACGTGGTCCGAACTAAATGGTTCCATTTACGAAATGCCCGAAATGTAACCATCTACCTGAAACGTTGCACCAACGTCCATACCTTTTGACTATGCTTTCATGTCAATTAAAATCCTTTTTTTGGAAGTCGAAGGGAATGCCTTTGCTGTTGACTGGATAATTTGGATGTGCAGCATAAATCAAGAAACTAATCAATACCTATAAATATGAAGTCAAAGGGTGATCACTAGCTGATGAAGGTAATTGGGTGCAATATAAATTAGGGAACTAATATTGAAATTTCAATCCCTATAAAATGGAAAGTCAAAGGCTTATTATAAGCTGATTTGCAGATGAAGGTTGACATTCCATAATTATAAATTGATGCTGATTTCAGGAGCCTGCCATGATTATAGGATATTATTTTTAGGAAGTTAGTTTTCATCCTTTTTTGTACAATACAAACAACTATAAATTGTATAGATTCATGACTTTCAAATACAACAAAATATACACATTCAGACAAATTAACATTTGCAGCATGAACATGATACTTAAGGTGCAGTTAATAATATTAGTCCATTACACCAGACTGCGCATGCCATTCTTTTTTAGCCACCATTCACCTTTCGACTCTTGCATTTTTTATTCCTTATTAACTATTATTGTCTGTCCTAAAATACGTCTTTGCATGCCGTTCTTTGCTCAGTATCACTTTTTTTTTTTTTGTAGGTCTTCCATTTTCTTTGTACTTATGCTATAAAAATTGATGTATGTGCTTTCACCTTAGATGAGTTTGCACAAGCCTTTCATGATAAGGTATGCTCACATTTCAATGCAATATGTTTTTAAATGTGATATTGTATATGGCGTGTTCAGGTTAGCTGGCTTTTTTACTTGTTGATTTCATTTTATTTTTATTTTGGTATTCAGGACTCCTTGTTGCTTGGCCAAGTACACGTGTCCCTTCTCAAGCTTCTTGTATCTGATATTGACCAGGACCTAAGTAGAGGATTTTTGCCTCTTGCCAGCAAAAATCGCAAGTTCTTGGCGTTACTTCACTCGGTAAGTACAAGCATATCGAGGCATAATAAAGACGTATGCATTTGTGCACTTCGTTCTGTTCACGTTTTTAAGACGTGAGCACTCGTTTCTGTCTTTATATGATTTGCTACTGATTTTTCTGCATCCTACTTTAAGAAGCAAATCTACGGGCATTTCTATATTATAAAATTAATACTTGTTGAGTTTGTAGAGATGGAAAGTCGATAAAGAATTTTTGGTCTATTCTGTTGCTTTTGCTAGGCATAATATCAACTTCTACTTGAATGTATTGCAGTTGCTGGTCGCTTTTGTGCAGCCTATCAATTAAAATTTCAACTTTTAAGTAATAAATTAAGAAGTTAGGTTTTGAATTTTGTTTTGTCTATGGATATTTAAAGCCTGTTTGAGCTGCATTTTTTTGCCCAAAATGCATTTAGAATAGTATTTTGATGGAGAATGTGTGGTTAAGAAATAAGAAAAAGTTTTTGGTTTGTGTGTAATATTGTTTTATTAAAAAATGTATGGTTGAAATGTGAGAGAAATAAATGTATTTTGAAAATAATGGAGACCAAACAAGGGCTTAAGAAGAACATATACCTAGTAAATATGAGCTTCGCCAATCAAAAACTTACTCTAAGTGGCAATTCTTTTGGAACTTTGTTACCCTTCCACCGAAAAGTATAAAAGTGGGAAGCCAGTTCATATTTATGTCAGATTTAAATACTTCAGGACATCCAAGATTAAGTAGATATGATTCATATTGTTGAATTGATTTTATGACTGAAGTAATTTGAACTTTCCTTGTAGAACGATGCAAGACAATCCTTTAACAAATAGGATTGGGATTTATTTCAAATTAAATTTCTTGTTGTAGATTTATTTTTTCATCTTTGTTTCTTGTTTCGAATAGGATTTTTCTTTTACTCCTTTTAGAATTTGAATTACTTTAGTCATTAGGATTAGAGAATTAACTTGTCTTTTTAAGAAAGTTTTGTATACTTTTAAGATCACCAATTTTTGATACAATCAAATTAGTTTTTATAATCTTTCAAGTTCTCAATTTTTTTTTTCTGTCAAGTATATCAAATTTGAGTCTGCACCACAAATCTTAGGCATTTCATGTACGGGGAATTCCTAAATTTGAAACACTCAAGATAAGTTTTCAGTATATCCCATATCTGTCAATTTTGCTGAATGATCTTCTCGTGTATTTCCTTTCATATATAGAATATTACAAAGCTATAATATGAAACCAAATAACTATACAATAGGGATTCAATCCCTAATTCTGTGCATGTGATTAGGCTACACCAGGAAATGGTTAATTTGTTATAATAAACCTCTAATCTCCCCCTCAAATTGATGTTGGGGAGTCTACAGGCATCAACTTGCAGAAGAGAAAATTATGACGAAGGGGATTTAGAGATTTTGTGAAGATATCTACGGCATGTTGAGTGGTAGAAACATGAGGAAGAGTAATGATTTTTGAATCATAGGCGTCGCAGATGTAATGAGAGTTTACTTTAATATGTTTGATGTGTTTGTCGAACACATGATTGGCCGCAGTCTGAATAGTACTAGAGTTGTCACTATAAAGAGGGGTAAGTTGTCATTGGGAAACACGAAGTTCTACAAGAAGGCCAAGCAGCCACACAATATCAGAACATGCAGCGAACATAGTACGGTATTTAGCCTCAGTAAAGGACTTAGAGACATGGTCCTGTTTCTTACAATTCCAAGAAATAAGAGCATCACCCAAAAAGATACACCAGCCAATAGTCAATCTACGAGAATCAGGACGACTTGCCCCGTTAGCATCACTATAAGCAGTGAGGTCAAGAGATGTCCCCCGATGGAAGAACGGACCATGTAAGGAGTCCCAATAAGATAGCGAATAATGCGATGAACAACTATCAAATGAAGATGACGAGGGGCCTACATAAATTTGCTGACCGTATGAACCGTAAAAGAAATATTGAGATGAGTGATAGTGAGATAGATGAGACTACCCACCGACTTCCGATATAGAGTAGGTTTGGAAGAATATCGCCTTTGTCTTTTCGATACTTAACGTTAAATTCCAACGGAGTACCAACGAATGAGGCTTGAGATAGATCGGTCAACATAATCAAGTCTTGAATATACTTTTGTTGATTCAAGAAGATACCATGCAGTGCTGTATGAACCTCTAGGCTAAAGAAGCAAGTGAGATGACCCAGATCTTTTATATGAAAGATTGAGCAAAGATGCGGCTGAAGTATCAGAATAAGAGTGTGATTAGATCCAAAAATAATAATATCATCCACGTATGCCAACAAAAAAATGATTCCAGCAATACACATGTAAAAGAATCGAGATGTGTCGTACTTAATTTGAGTAAAGGAGAAATTCAAAGGAGTGCGGTAGAACTTGTCAAACATTCTCGTGGAGCTTGCTTAAGACCATATAAACAATGTTTAAGCTTACAAATCGAGTCAGTTGAGGGAAGAGGCATACTGGATGGAAGTTCCATATAAATGTCATCCTTGATGTCTTCATATAAGAATGCATTTTTTACATCTATTTGATGTAGAGACTAAGATTGGGAAGCGACAAGCGATAACAAGCGGCAAATTTACAGATTTTAATGAGAAGAACTGGGAATAGCGTTGTATTGATAAAGAGAACAATTAAAGTAAGATAGGAAAACAACATATAGTCTTTTAAGAAGGCTATTCTCTCCACAACCTCACCATTACTTGAGTTAATGCCTGCCCACTTCTTTCCGATGCATCTATTTATAATCATTTTGGCTACCTCAGCCTGCCAAGTTAACAAAATTTGTTGCTGTCATCTCCTTCTCCTATCTTCTTGAATCTCTGGTAACTTGATTGGAGGCTTATCAGTAGCCTGGATTCCAAAGATACCTTGTCCTCAAGGTTGAAACTAGGAAAATGGTGTTGAAAGGCCTCTGATATTTCCCAGGAGGCTTGAGAAAAGAGTAACCCTTTTCATTGAATCAGCATTCATGTTGCCCATTTGATAATTTTCATACTTTTGAGCACCTGCTCTAGTTTACCATCCACTCTAATGTGGCATCAAGGTGTGGTGGCAGTTGTATACAAGTCTCAGTAGCCCCAAGTGATTTTTTTTTTTTTTTTAATTGAGACACATGGAAAACTGGGTAAATCGTGGCAGTTGGAGGCAGCTCTAGACAATAAGCAACTGGGCCTATGCGCTGAGCAATTTCGAATGGTTCAAAGTAGCGAGAAATCAGCTTATTAATCCTTTTAGCCAAAGAATGGAGGCGATATGTGTGGATTTTTACATGCACTAGATCACTCTCGTTGAAGTGGATATTCCTTCGGTGTTCATTGGCCTGCATTTGCATCTTATTCTGGGCAATCAGGAGATGGATTTTAGCACATCCAACATCGCATCGCGATTTTACAATTGCTACTTCGCTATCGACACTTTGGTGGTTTGGTTTCCAAAGCAAACCAAGGGTGGAGGGTTACAACCTTAGACTGCCCGGAATAATGTAGTGTTTGTTGAAGCGTGAAGGGTGGCGTGGCGTTGTACTACTATTCAGCCCAAGGCAGCCAACTAGACACTTATGTGGCTTATCGTATTAGAAACACCGAAAGTATGTTTCCTAGCAATGGTTAATGACCTTCGTTTGTCTATCAGTTCGAGGATGGTAAGCTGTGCTTCTCTTCAAATAGGTTCCTTGTAACTTAAATATCTCGGTCCAGAAGTGGCTTAGGAAAACCTTGGTGCAGTCCAAAATTATTAAGCGAGGAATTCCATGGAGCTTAACTACATCCCGAACAAAAGCTGTTGCAACACATGAGGCCGTGAAAAGGTGTTTTGAGTAGTTGTAAGTAGCGATCCACTACTACTAAAATCGAAACTTATCCCCTCGACTTGGGAAGCCCCTCAATGATATCCATTGAAATATTTTCCCAGATGATGTTAGGAATGGGTAGAGGTTGCAGCAATTCGGTTGGTGACAAGGCCAGGCTTTTGTTCAGCTGGAATATTGAGTACTCATCAACAAACCATTTAATGTGTCCTTCATGCCTGTCTAGTAGAGGTCAGATATAAGGTGTTTGTAAGTGCGAATAAACCCCGAGTGTCCTCCTATTGTGTTGCAATGAAACTCTTGTAGTAACTTCAAAATCATTGAGGAAGACCGTGGAACCAATGGATGGAGGTACTCGAGATAATGCAATAGCTACCTTAATTTCTAACCCTGGTTGATACTGTATCTCAAAATCGTAGTCAGTCAACTTCGTTATCCAACGTTGGAATCCACCGTGCACTACCCGTTGTCCCAAGAGAAACTTTAAACTTCGTTGGTTGGTGCGAATTATAAACTTTTTGCCCAATGCACAGTGCCGCCATTTTTGAACGGCTAAGAAGATCGCGGTTAACTCCTCATAAACTGATTTGAGGCGAGAATTAGCCTATAAAAATTGGCTGAAATTGGCAATTGGTTGTTGATTTTGCATAAGCATTGCTCCTATCTGAAACTCAAAGCATCTGACTCAATTACAAATGGTTGCAAGAAATCGGGCAAAGCCTATATGGGTACTGCGGACATGGCTGCTTTAAGTTGCTGAATGCGTCCTTAAGTTCTTGCGTGGGAGGCCATGATATTGCCCCATAGTTGGACACAGAGCGGCGATTATATCCCCTAAAACCCATAAATCCGTGAAGGATTTGAATATTGTGGGGGGTAGGCCACTGTACCATGGCTGAGATTTTGCTGGGATTTGCCTCTACTCCTTTTGTAGACGCTAAATGCCTCAAATACTCAATCTGGTGTTGGGCGAAATGGCACTTCTTATCATTTGCATACAACTGGTGTGGATAGAGCATAAAAGACTAGCTTCGAGATGTTGCTTGTGTGTGTCGTCATGTCCTTACTATATACCAGTATACCATCAAAAAACACCAAGACGAACTTTCCGAGGAAGTTTTGGAACACCTGACTCATTAACGATTGGAAGGTGGCTGTAAAAATGTGCAGAATTTTATGAGAACTTGGAATAGCAGCGTATTGATGACAAAAACAATTACAGTGAGAGAGGAAAACAACAGATAGCTGTCTCAGAGGGCTACTCCGCAACC